GATATCTATAGAACATTCCATCCAACTACCTCAGAATATTCATTCTTCTCATCAGCACATGGATCATTCTCCAGGATAGATCACATATTAGGACACAAATCAAGTCTCACCAAATTCAAAAAAATTGGAATTATCCCGTGTATTTTCTCAGACCATAATGGATTAAAACTAGAAATCAATAATAAACAAAATTCTGGAAAGTATACAAACACATGGAAATTAAACAGCATTCTTCTTAACGATACATGGGTCCAGGAAGAAATCAAGCAGGAAATAAAAAAATTTATTGAAACTAATGAAAATAATGATACATCATACCAAAACTTGTGGGATACAGCAAGGGCAGTATTAAGGGGGAAATTTATTGCATTAAACGCCTACCTCAGAAAAATGGAAGGCTGGCAAGTGAACAATCTAATAATGCGCCTTAAAGAACTAGAAAAACAAGAACAATCCAAACCTAAAGTTAGCAGAAGGAAAGAAATCATCAAGATCAGAGCAGAACTTAACGAAATTGAAACCCAAAAAACAATACAAAAGATCAACGAAACACAAAGTTGGTTTTTTGAAAAGATAAATAAAATCGACAAACCACTAGCACGGCTAACAAAAAAAGAAGAGAGAAGATTCAAATAACAAAAATTAGAAATGAAAAAGGTGATATTACAACTGACCCAACCGAAATACAAGGAATCATCCGAGACTACTATAAACAGCTATACGTCAACAAGTTCGAAAATCTGGAGGAAATGGATAAATTTCTGGATTCACACAAGCTTCCAAAACTAAGCCTTAATTTTTTTTTACTACACTGTTCATTCAGTCCAGTGACCTCTAAACACAAGCAGACTGTACAAATTTGGTTCATAATATCTTAGCACTTTACATCATATCTCAAAATCTAGCATTTTAAAATTTTGGTCTTTTCAATAACTAACCCTATATCAGTAATTACATTGATCATTTTATAAACTTACTTCATTATATTAAAACAGGAGGTATTCGTCTACCCATTCCTGGATTTTCCTTTTCTAGATATCAAAATTTCTATTAATTTGGGGGCCGGCCACGTGGCGCACTGCTAAAGTGCACTGCTTGGGAGCATGGCGGCGCTCCCGCCGAGGGTTCGGATCCCACATACAGACCGGTTCCCGCTCACTGGCTGAGCGAGGTGCAGGCGCAGCACTGAGGGTTGCGATCCGTTGCCGGACACGAAAAAATAAAAAATAAAAAAATTTCTATAAATTTAATTTGGGAAAATGTGTACATGAAGACCTCAGATTATGAGAAAATCATGAGACCTTATGATTATGAGAAAATTTTAGATTTATAAGGATACTTTAAAAAGTTTGTGGAAAAATTGATTTACAAGATAATACCAATCTTTCCATGAACTTTTTAAAGACCCCTCATATTTGGGTTTACTTTGGGAAAATTTATAAATTCAAACTATACTTTGTGTCCCAGAAATGTTAATGTAAAATTCATTCAAAAATTCTAACATTGGTACTCATGTTTTAAAACACAAAAGGTAATTTCTTCTGTGGATAATAATTGTTCCTGTTTTATTCCTGAAATATTTCTGTTTTATTGTGACTTGTCATAAGTAACTACTGCTTATAAGTAAAGATGAATTTAATTTCTTCTATGTCCATTTTAATTTCCAAAAGTTTTGGATTTTGCACTAATAGTTTTGGATTTTCCACAATCAATCAAAATTTGTTATATTTAGACATATAGTTAGGCTTTGGGATATTTAAGTAAACTCATTTCTAGCTACCACATTCAGAGATGAAAATTCAAACATAATATATGATATGTTCATTTCTTTTTCTCTGCAAAATTCATCTATTGTTAACACCACCTCTATGTTTTCTACAGAAATTAGTTTCATTTCCTATAAGTTACTCTCCTTCCTGCATGTCTGCATCAATCAATTTATTTTGATAGTTATTACCACTTGTTATTCTTTTCCTAAAGGAAAAGAAAACTTCAAAAAAGGAAAGCAGTGACTAAAGACAAACTGAAGTTTAAGCGACATAGACACTTTATTATTTTTGCATATAAATTGGAGAATGTAGACGACTTCTACAATATTTAAATAAAACAAATGATGTTTTATTAAAGTGATAAACTATTTGAGGGATTCTAGAAACTGATTATATTACAGACTGGACTTCAAAAAGTGGAAAGTGAACCTACTAATTATGATTCAACATAAATGTTGAAGTTGTTCTTCAAATATCTCAATAATTTGAAGACTCTTTAAGGCCTAATAACTTATAATTCTTCCCTGCTTTTCTTAATTTTTAAGGAAAGAGGATTCAAAAAATGTAGAATATAAATATATCATAAAGAAAATATAGTGTAGAATTGAATTTAAACTATGAAACAAGCCCTGAATCAAATTTAAGAAAACTGAAACTGGCACTTCTGCTACAGACCTTATGCTATAGGTCATTCAGCTTTTATGTTCTCAACATTGGACCTTTGAAAAAAGAAGCCTCTAATCACAGAGGTGCCTACACTGCGCTGGTCTGCTTGTGTTTAGAGGTCACGATGCCCTAGCCTTGTATTAATTAATGTACCCTAACTTGATCCTCCTTTCTTCTTTTTTTCTTCAATCCATCTCTAACTGGAGAACACAGTTTTTGAGAAAGATGAACCATACCCCCAAATCTCTCCTCATCCCCTTACTTCCTGGATCTCCCTGATGGAATACTTTGAGATTCAGATTTTTTATGACGTAAATAAAATCAGGGACATGAAAACGAGATCCAAATACAGAAATTCCCAGATATCTAACTTCCCATATGCATTAAGGACGACAACGCAAAAATAACCAACCAAGCTTGGTTCCTGCACTAATGATTCCAGCGAGGGCAGACTATCAAAGACAGTTGTGCATTGCTTAAATAATGCATGTTCTAATGTAGCACTTAGGTATACACATCTCTGGAATTTGAGTGAGAACACACTGTCCCACTATCCCACACATCCCAGGACGTAGGGCAACGATCCTAGGGGACAGCAAGGGTCTGCGGTCTGGAGAAGAACGGTGGCCACATTCCCGCGGAAGTGGGGCTCCAGCCAACAGAAGGTGACAGGTCGTGACAGCCGGAGTGGACGCTGCTCAAGAGCAAGCTTGAGTCTAGCTCTTCCGGACCGAGGCGTTCCTTGGTGAGGGTCCTTCGGAGTCCCAGTGAAATTAGGAGTCCGGCTTTTCTCCATCCCCTGCGCTCTCTCTGCAGGTCTTTGCTCACGGAGCCCCCGCCCCCCACACACACCACCCCTCACCGTGCACAGGCAGAAGAAAGTTTTGCACAGAATGAGCCCCGCGTTAACGTAGGCACCGTCGCCTCCCGTCCCAGCTGGATAGAAGCCCAGAAGGGAACGAGTGGGGGGATGTGGAGGTAGGGCTCGCCTGGATTCCTGCGGTTAGGATCCCGGGGCGGGTCGGGGCGGATCAAGGGCCAGCTAAGAGTATTGGTCCTAAACCCACAGATACATCAGGCTTTTCCGTCCTCCATCAACCTCCTAAATCCCAATGAGGTCATAGCAATGAGAGACAGTCAGATCAAGAGAGGGGGGGAAGGAAGAGGACGACGGCGAGGGAGAAAAAACCCAGACGGAAAAAGGCCATCAGACAAGGTCGCTTCTTCTGGCGACACAGCAACTGCGAGGAGCGTGGTGCTGAATATCATCCGCCCGCTCCGCCTGGGGAGCGGAGACTCGCAGAAGCGCTTTGCGTTACCACGAAAACAAAGGAGAGGAGACGAGACAGGGAGGAGAGAGCAGCTCTGAGCGGCTCTCCTTGGATCTCCGGGAAGCCGAGCTCATCTTGGCAAGGAAGGGAAGACGGAGGAGCCTGACAGGGTCTGAGGGGCTCAGGAGGGAGCGGGATTTCCCTGCGCAGGTCTGGGACGCGGCAGAACTCTGGACAGCGCCTCGCGACTGGGGCTGGCGCTCCCGGGGCTCCTCCGGGTTTCCGGTTCTTCTTGCCAGCCCCGCCACTGCTGTGCCCTCGTCTCCTGGACTCGCACCGCCGAACCCAGGAAGATCCTTCTGCGATCCCTGTCCGAACGTGCCAGGGGGCGGAGCAGCTCTGTCGCCTCTGACCCGACCAGGGAAAAGGGTCTCCAGTTCTGGAAATCCAGACCCTGTGGATAATGCTTCGCTGGTGAAGAAAGAAAAGTTTGGAGATCTGGTAGGGGGTGGAAGGGGCAAGGAAGATAGTGGAAGAAAGAAGGTGGATGGTTGGTTTTCCTCTCTGATCTGGAAGGAATGATGACCGAGGAAGGATGTGCACCAGCGGCCAGATCATTGGGAGCCTCTTGGTGCTCTCTGTGCTGGAGATAGGGCTGGGGGTGTCCAGCGTGGCCGTGGGGGCGGTCAGCTTCAGCCTGGCCCTCCGAGAGCACAAGCCGCAGCTCGGAGACTCGTCCCCGGTATGGAGCGGGGTGTGTGTACGTTGAGCCATTTCACTCTCTCTTTACCTCTTTATGGTGATGGTCAGTGTGCGTGCGTTAGTCACTCCCTCCCTGGGAAACAAAACCATAAATCTCCTCTGGCTTGCATGTAGGTTCTTGTTGGCAAGCTATGTTTCTTTATGTTGTCCTTTTATTAGTTTCTTCTTCTTCTTCTTCTTCTTTTTTTTTTTTTTTTTTTTCTTTCTCAACCTGGGCTTAAGATCAAATTAAATGACTGTGTTTAAAGTTGGGGGATGGGGGGAGGGACTCAGTTTCCACTGGCTGGTTCTGCAAAGGCAAAGGGTTGCCCAGTGGTGCTGATGGGGGGTGGGAGGGAGGGTCACACCTGTCAAGGGCAGACTCACTTAGTCTTTTGTTCCTTTTACAAGGAAAATCAAAATGGGATTGTTATATCATTTTCTGTACCAGGAACTAACAGAGATAGCTATGCATTTATCTCTGGACAACAATGACCAAGGTACACCACAGGCAACAGTGATACAACAAAAAGGAAAATGTGATGAGAGCGTGAAAGGAGGGCTTGGGTGCATTCCATCCTGGAAAACATTGCTCTTAATTTTCCCTTGTTAGCTTTCAGATACTTCCTCTGAAAACTCTTTTGTAAGTTCTAGGCAGTAAGTTAAACAAACAACAAATGGTGAGATATGCAACAGTATTATAACTGGAGAATAGCTCAGCTTAAGGAGGGTAACTGCTCAGTACCTACCCTAAATGTCATAATTTTTCTCTAAGTCAGTTGGCAGATCCAACAAGCTTCTTGCTTATTTCCTTAGGGTGAATCTCAAGGAACGCCTTAGAGACCCATTTCTTCCAACCATCAATAAGATAACTCAGCTCTATCCTAGTGTGGACCTAATTGAGAAAAATAGCTTTTCCCTCTCCAAGTTATGTACATGTTATATCCCTGTGGGTTTCTAGCTTGATCTTACTTTTTAAGATAATGTAATAGGATGTTATTTTGTTACTGACAATCCATAGTGTGTTTAACAACCATGGTTTAGTTACTTGAGCTACAAGTCACCAAGAGAAAATGATCATTTGGAAGTTCAAGAAAAATAATTCCAAGGTTATTCATTTTTGAGAGATGTTCTAGCATTCTTAAAACTGGTAAAATTGTGCTTTGGAAAATTAGTTTTGCATTTTAATTTTTCCAAGCGAGGCAAATGTTTTTAATTTGAAGAACTTATAAGAAAAAAAGAAAAAGAATATTCAATTCGAACACTGAATTCCTCCAAGAATCTTTGTTCTTAATTCAATAATGTTACTATCAATCAATAATCACTTTGTTCTTTATTACATATTTTTGTCAATGTATATATTAAAGTTGAGTTTGAAAAGGTAAAAGACATATCTTATATCTTAAATTCTACATCTTATATGTGGTAGTAATTATTTTGAGACTTGTTTGTATTATGTAAACATAAATAAGACTTTAAAATTCTATTGGACAACTGCCAAAATGAAGCATAATGTCAACACTTAGAGTAAGGGATAGGAAATGATGGCTTAAGAGGGAGAAGCCTCAAACACTCTTAAAGTCACTCTCTACTCTACCTGAAATTCAAGAAATTAAGTGGATAGACTCTAAATAATACAAAAGTATCCCGTTTATTTTAGAGAATTAAAAATTGATTACACTAGCTTGGTATTGTAAGACAAATAATTCAATGATTTTTTTCTCTCTTCCCAGACTAGTTAATATAATCTAGATGAGTCAACATGTGTACATGTATAGAAAAGGAAAGTTTTGAATCAGCTCAGGGAATAGCAAATAAATCAATCATAGCTATACAGTTGTTATCATAAAGAATTATTTCCATTTTTAAATAGTTGTTTAAAGTAATCAAAATTCACTTGGATGCTTAGAACAACAGTTTTGAATTCTATTGTCTCTTCAGTAAAATTAAACAATACATCTGACTGAATGAATGGATTTGAAACTAGAATGACCAAACAGTTGCTCACTTTTATAAACCCGTTTTAAAAAAAAATCAAATTTTTGAAGAAATAAATGCCAAGTTGGGGTCATTGTGTTTATCTAATTATAGGTTGGCTAAGTGGGTTTTTAAATTTATTTGGGGGAAGTCATTTGTGGTACAGTCTGAACTACGTTGTAGTTCTTTCAATGATGAATTAATATAACTGATATTTATAAAGGGATTAATATGTGAAATGCATTTTACTATTTACTATAGAAACTAGAAGAAGAAATAAAAATGCTGTCCTCAAAAGGCTACTTACTGCCTAGCAGAGGAAACAGGATGGGTACATCACTAACTTTGTCAGCAATGAGAAGATAGAGTGTGACCTCAGAGAGATACAGGAGCAGAAAAAGGGGAGAAAGTTTAGGTGGTGTGAAATATCTATGCAAGAAGTATTATTTTACTATTGATCTTGAAAGTGTATTGGTACTTGGAATTAATGCATCACTGTGTTAAGTAATGCATTCCAGTGTAAGATCTGAAGTCAGACTACCTGATTGCAAAATCCAGATCTAGCTGAGTGACTGGCCAAAGTTTCCTCATCTGTATAGGGTTGCTATAAGGCACAAATTAAATAATGCTCTGGTAAAGTGCATGGCATGTAGAAAGAACTGAATAAATATCAGCAGCTAATACTGGATGCACAGACTGGCAGTAGAAGGTGTGAGAAAGTAGATCCTTCCAGGCAGCATGCATAAAGGAAAAGCACTGGTACAGGATGGGTTGTGTTCTAGGAAGAGTAGACTTTTCTGTTTCTCTGAGGTTTAGATGTGTGAGAGAAAGATAAGGATAGAAAGAGTGATTGGGGACAGACCCAGACTGGCTGTGTGTCAGTCTGAAGCAATTGATTTATTTCATCATATTTTTAATAATAATATCAATTCTTACTTCCCCAAAACACTCCAGGAAGATGCAGAGTGAAGCTAGATAGAAAATTATTAATCTCTTAGGTAATTTATGAATTAAAAGTCTATATTATTTATGAATACCAAATGAGATTTTACAATAATTATTCCTTTCAGAATATGTATAATCTACAATCAGACTGGATTTTGATTGGTGGCATGAAGCTTTTTATACAAGATTTCTGAATTAAATATAAAAGTCAAGGGAAATAAAAGCTGCACTATAAAGACATTACTTTTACATAGAGAAACCCTGGAATCATAAGCATTTTATCTAGGACAACTACACTCAGGTTTTAGGCAACTATTTTGATTATTTGGCCCCAAACATGCAAATACAAAAAAAAGGTGACCTAAAAATAAAATAATACCAAGGTAAAGGACTTAAAATGCTTGAAATAAATGCTTATGCAGATTATTTCCAGTCACTATTTCATAATCAGGTAGGGTTGCTTCCTGTGATCAGTTTAAAAAGTGTGGGCAATTAGAAGGAAAAAAATCATTTAACTATAAATCCAAAGAGAAAAAAAAGCTATAAATGTCTTTTTAGCATTTTTGTTTCTTCTTGATTCTTTGTCACATCTGATATGGTCATCTACAATGAAAGCACAAAATCACAAGACATAACTGTTAGATAACAATGAAGGAGCCATTGAGGAAGCTATTTTGGAAAGGCCATTGTTGTGTAACTTGTAATTGATTTGTAAGATTTATTGACAGAGAGTTGTATAGACAGGGCTGTGTTTACTAGTGGCTATGTGAAAGTCACTTTTCTCAGCCTCCAGTGCTTCACCTATAATGAGAATGAACTAGATTTAGTAGTACGCAGATTCATAAATCCCTGAGAATTTTATTCTACTGCTCTAGGTTGGCGTTTGATAATCAAGAGTTTTAAATGATGGTGTCCAGAACAAAGTCTGATGCTGAGTTGTATTTGATATACATCATGCTATAATTTCATCTATCTATAAAATTTGATTTACTAAAAATACTTTTATAAGCCTAGTTCTCTCATGTAAACCACAAGGTAGTCTTTTAAAATATTTAAAATTTTCCATATATAAATCATTTGAATCTTGAATGATTTTATTGCTTATTTTTCTGGAGCTTGCTTAATTTGTATACCATAACATTATCTGCTTAATAAATCTAATTTTTGCTTGAATGAAATTTATACCATAATCAATGCACATAACTGTTCTGTAGATTCCTGATTCACCATGGCAACAACTCAGCTAACTGTAAGATTTTGTTGAAATTCAGCTTTAAACATTTTGATCCATACTATAGCAACATAATGAGGTGTTATATATAAATAATAGCTGCTCCAAGGTATTATTTTCAATATTTAAATATGTCAAATTTATTTAATAAAAAACGAGCAAAACAATAAGGTGAACCCCCTCCCCCAAATAGTTACTTCAAATGTACACAATTTGAAGCTTGTGTATCTCTAACTAGACAGTAACTCATTTTTCTCAAGGGTCAAAATACACATGGATTTATATTTTTTAGCATGAGATAAAGACACTGCCCCTATTCTCAGAAAAAAAATTACAAAAGTATATTTATGCCCCATTTCTTAATTAATTTTAATTATATAACTAATTCATGAATATATTCTTTCAAAATATTTTTAAAGATTTGAAACTGAAGTTCTCTTCCCTATAACCTCACAAAATTAGCCACCAATATGGTGTTATGATTTGATAGAAATTTGTCCATACATAAGTAGTTTTGTTTGCAGTATATAGCCCCATTTTGACCAATTTTCTGGATATAATGAAGCCCATTCATGGATTCTGTAGAGCCCAGGTAAAGAATCTCTTTCCCATATGACTCACACTCTCATTCTCAAATGCTTCTGGTTACCTACTGGGATTAGGCAATTGGATGACTTAGGCAAGCCAACTACTAGAAAATGTAGTTATTATTCAAGGAAACATACCATGCATCAAAATAGACATTAATATATGTCCATTTCTGGTATTGATTGATAATGGTATGATGGAAGAAAAATGGTAAAGTTTGCCATTATCTCTTATTTTCTTAGTGTTAGTCTAGTTTCCAT